ATTTTTCTGCATATCTCTGGTGACTTTGCAAAGTGTGAGTATCCAATATCTGTCTCCATCCAGGAAGAGCACACACCAACTGCTGAAGCTTCCTTAGCCTGACGAAGGGTTTTTGAACCCGAAAGCTTGCTTAATAACTATTCTCTAACCATTTGGGTTGGTCTAATAAAAGATATCAAATTCACCCAAGGAACCTTGTCTGCCTATGTCCTTAGACCAACATGGCTACAACCGAAACCCTTGCAATATCTGTCTATGCACTTGAGCTCTTTTTTTTTTTTTAAATACATTTTGTATTAACTTGTTCCTCCAGTTACAAGTGTACTTTTTGTTTTCCAATTGGCTTCCTACCTTTAGCAGCACTTTTTTTTTATAATATCCATTCTTAGTTGCATGGCATCTACTTTTATGTCCTGACCTTGATGCATGAATGTGCTTTCTAAACAACTCTTTACATCTTTCTTTAATACCCATTTATGCTTTGCCTGTTGTCATCCATCCAGTGATACACAATTGTATCTGAGTTGAGGGAGGGAAGATCTGTATAGCAGGCTTCACAGATCAAACACTTTTTTTTCTATTTGTTTTGCATAAAACAGTATAGGGGGTCGTGCTCCCCGCTCAGGCAATGGGCAGGCGGGAGCGCTGGTGCCCCCTGCTGTGAGTGCCAGCTGGGGAGTGGGAGTGCTGTGGCCACTTCCGAGAGTGCTGGTCACGGGGGAACCCTGCCCCCGGTCTCTAACTGGTCATTGACTAAGGCAGCACCAGTCGCCCATGGTATGAAAGTTGTGCAATAACTAATGTACCTACAAAATTTTAATCATCACCTTTTTATCCCTTCTCTTGTCGTCTTTGTTGTTTGTTGCTTAGTTGTACCACATTTCAAATTGGATTGTAAATTCCTGGACAAGAGCAGTATGTTTGGGCAGTACTTTTTCTAGGATTCCCCTGATGGGCTCTACTGCAATACAAATGATAGGTCTTATCTATGGTGTTTCCTTGTGTACAAAACCAGCGTCACATACTAGGGAGCCAAGAAAATATCTTTAAATTCTTTGTAAACTTGGTAGTGGTTTAAAAAATATGTATACAGTGGACCTGAATACTCCTTGACTTGCTTGAATAGGTAATGTCTGGACATATTCAGTATTCTCTTGGACAATCACCCTCCTTTGTATAACTATAATTTTTGTGATTTAGTAAATTCAGTGTTATTAAAGGATAGCTGAAGTGTTTAATGCACTTAAAGTGTTTTCAGTGTATAATCTTGTTATGAGCATATGGTACTTTGGAAAATAATACAAGTGGAACTCAATTTCTAAGACCTGTTTTTATTACAAATGTCTTCACTGCCTGTGCGTCCTTCAGTGAGTCATCTACTGCTGTCAGTTGTTAATATAAATAATAGATTTAACTTTAGGTTTTAATTATACTAATATGCTGTTGCATCAGTTGAATAACATGTATTATCACACTGAAAATTAATTCACAACACTGTATTGGAACAATTTTATGATTGCAGATTAATTCATCTTTCTTTCTCTTATTTTTGCAAAGGCTTTGTGTCTTCCCCAGAATATGCATAAAACTTCACTGGTGCTCTTGAGGCTTAATACTAGGAAATGTATTCCAATTGTAAGTAGCTAGCTTTATTGGAAGTCACGAGTTGAATACCAGTACCAAGCTGTTATGCTGGTATCTTTATCAGTATTTGGAAGTTGACATTTTTCTTTTTATTAATGTAACTGTCCTATGAATCCTGTAAATCAGAAAAGATAACTTTCCCTCCATGGAATTTTGCATGTTTAGATGAGGTCATCTTTTTTTACTTGCTTAAACAGGAACATCTTGTTTTTCATACTAGTCTAACAAATGCCTGTAGCCATGTCAAACGGAAAGGCTGTTTTCTGTAATGTAAGAACAGTCGTGCCATCTTCCTTGTACCTACAGGTGGACACTTAAAAGTTGCACAGTATTCATGAGGCTGAAATGACTTCTTTTTTTCCCCCTGTACGAGGCAAGGATTTTTGTGGGTGATATCTTGGACCATCATGACTTCAACCCCACTCCAACACTTGCATTTTTTCCTGCCATTTGTAGACAGTAGTAGTTATTGTTATGTCATCTTAGGCTTATGAGTAGAAATTCTGAGCTTCTGGTCCAGGGTTTTTGTGTGAATGTGTTCCTTGCAGTACAGTTAGAAGCCCGTTGTGTCCCTGGGACCCCTCAGGGCCCCTGATGACCCCCAGCCTAGCCGGAAGTAAGTGGAGGCCTGTGGTGGGAGGGACTTAGCCCAGCTGCAGACGCCTCAGTCTGGAGAAGCACAGGCTCAGGGGTGACTTGGTGGCAGCCTATAAGTACATAAGGGGTGTGCATCAGGATCTGGGGGAACATCTGTTCACCAGAGCACCCCTGGGGATGACAGGGTCCAACCGTCACAAATTCCTGCAAGACCATTTTAGGCTGGACATAAAGAAAAGCTTCTTTGCTGTCCAAGCCCCCAAGGCCTGAAACAAACTCGCCCCAGAGGTGGTGCAAGCACCTATTCTGGACACTTTCAAGAAATATTTGGACATTTATCTTGCTGGGATCCGTTGACCCTAGCTGACTTCCTGCCCCTTGGATAGGCGGCTGAACCCAATGATCTTATGAGGTCCCTTCCAGCCCTAATGTCTATGAAATGAAATCAATGTATTCCATGTACTTATGCAGCTATCTGCATACCCTTTTTGTACTCATTCTGTTGTGCCTGCTGCTACACTTTCTGTGTGAATTCTCCAGGTGCATCTCTCTGTAGGTTACAGGTCAAGTTGTAGCTCTAGATTTTCTGTAGATTATCTTTCCAAATGGATGGCAGATGTCATCTTGCACCTAGGCATAGTGAACAGCAGCAACAAAAAGGAACTGGCTCAGAAGGTGATGAAATATGGTTTAAACTTTGTTGTTTATTTAATTAAACATTTAGCCAGAGAAGCAGCTGCAGGTTCAGAGTATCAGTTAGAACTTTGTCCATTATATTCACATTGAAGCAATGTTAAAATTTTTTTCACCTTGTTGGTAAACCTTTTGGGGCTGCCTCTGACCAACACACATCACAGCAAGTTAGGACAGGTTGGTGGTATTGCAATATACAGGTTTCCCTCGCCAACCACTAAAGTTAGGTTTCTGAAAGTTCCTGTGCTTGGCAAAACCGTGATGCGTAGCCACGGAAAACCGTGGTTGCTCAAAACTCTATACCGTGGTAGCCAAAATGGTATATAGAATATTAATCATGGATACTCAAAACCGTGGTTGGCAAGGGAAACCTGTAATTATACAAAAGGGCTCTGGTGTGCTGCTT